GGCCGGGAACGCGGATCCCCAGCCCCGGATTGGCTGCCGCCTGCGTAGCCCCGGCCAGAGCCGCTCGGTCTCTCCAGATGGTGCGGCCAGCGGCTCGGATCGGCGGCAGCCGGCGGCCGGGAGAGCGAGCGGTCGCCTGTCCCCGCACCCGCACTATGCCCGGCGCGGCGGGGCTGCGCTCTGCTCTCGCCAGCCCGCCCTGCGCGCTTGCATTTGCCTGAGAACTTCAGTGCTCTGGAGCCGCGTCCTGCCGGGCTGCCGCTTCCAGCCCGGCCCGGCCCGGCCAGCAGCGGACGGAGCCGGGAGACGACGGGAGTGAAACTTTCCTTGCCAGAGCCGCCGCCACCAGGCGCCCGCCTCAGGGACAGGTCGAGGCGGAGGATTACCCAAGCCAGCCCAGCCCAGCCCGCACCTGCCGTCCGGCGCCGGTGCCCGCAGCCCGGGGGTGTCGCCCGCTGGACGCGCGGCCGCTGTCTCCGGCCGTGACTGCGCCGCCTACTCCGGGCTGCTCCGTGAGGAGGAAGTGCCGCCGCCCCCCGCTCGCGGGCCGCCGCTTCTAGTGGGCGCAGCCCAGTCCCCGCGCTAGCGGGCTGGGAGACATGAGGAGGCCGCCTGGTCCCGGCTAGCCGCTCCTGCCGCTTCCTTCCCCCCCGCTGGGCCCAGGCATTGCCGCCTTCCAGGCGCAGGGGCAGCCCTGTCCCCGCCGGCCTCGATGCCCAGGGACGCAGCCGCTTGCCCCCCACGGCCATCCTCACCCGCGGCTTGGAGAAGCCCGTAGCCCCCTGGCCCAAGGAAGCGCGGCTGCTCCCCCCACGCTTCCCCCAGGCTCGGAATCAACAGGCAGCTGGAGATGGATGTGCTCCTGCTGCTGCTGGCGGCCGCTGCGCTGTGGACCAGGGCCGGGGCCCTCATCAACCTGAAGTACTCCGTGGAGGAGGAACAGCGAGCGGGCACTGTGATCGCCAACGTGGCCAAGGACGCCCGTGAGGCCGGCTTTGTGCTGGATCCACGGCAGCCCGCTGCCTTCCGCGTAGTGTCTAACTCTGCGCCGCACCTGGTGGACATCAACCCCAATTCGGGCTTGCTGGTGACCAAGCAGAAGATCGACCGGGACCTGCTGTGCCGCCAGAGCCCCAAGTGCGTGATCTCGCTGGAGGTAATGTCCAGCTCCATGGAGATCTGTGTGATCAAACTGGAGATCAAGGACCTGAATGACAATGCACCCAGCTTCCCCACAGACCAAATAGAGCTGGAGATCTCAGAGACGGCCAGTCCAGGCACACGAGTGCCACTGGAGAGTGCTTACGACCCTGACTCGGGCAGCTTTGGCGTGCAGAGCTACCAGATCACCCCCAATGACCTCTTCAGCCTGGAGACCAAGATACGTGGCGATGGGTCCCGCTTCGCTGAGCTGGTGGTGGAGAAGAGCCTGGACCGTGAGACCCAGTCCCACTACAGCTACCTGATCACAGCCTTGGATGGTGGTGATCCTCCCAACCTGGGGACCGTGGAGCTGAGCATCCGGGTTATTGACTCCAACGACAACAACCCGCTCTTCGAGGAGCCGGCCTACACTGTGAGTGTGCCTGAGAATGCACCTCCGGGCACCCCCCTTCTTCACCTCAATGCTTCTGACCCTGATGAGGGTACTAATGGGCAGGTCCTCTACTCCTTCCACAGCTACGTGTCTGAGCGTGCCCGTGACCTTTTTCAGATCGACCCCCAGAGTGGCCTCATCACAGTCAGTGGAGCCATTGACTATGAGGAGGGCCATGTTTATGAGCTGGATGTGCAGGCCAAGGACCTTGGGCCCAACTCCATCCCGGCCCACTGCAAGGTGACAGTCACTGTGCAGGATGCCAATGACAACCCGCCCCTCATCAACCTGTTGTCAGTCAACAGTGAGCTGGTGGAGGTGAGTGAGAATGCTCCTCCAGGCTATGTCATTGCCTTGGTGCGGGTCTCCGACCGTGATTCAGGTGCCAATGGCAGGGTGCAGTGCAAGCTGCTGGGCAATGTGCCTTTCCGCCTGCAGGAGTATGAGAGCTTCTCTACCATCCTCGTGGATGGCCGGCTGGACCGGGAACAGAGGGACCAGTATAACCTCACTATCCAGGCGAAGGACAATGGTATCCCTTCCCTTCAGGCCATCAAGTCCTTCACTGTCAAGATCACTGATGAAAACGACAACCATCCCCACTTCTCCAAGCCCTACTACCAAGTCATTGTGCAGGAGAACAACACTCCTGGGGCTTACCTCCTCTCTGTGTCTGCCAGGGACCCTGACCTGGGCCTTAATGGCAGCGTCTCCTATCAGATTGTGCCCTCTCAGGTCAGGGATATGCCCGTCTTCACCTATGTTTCCATCAACCCCAACTCTGGGGACATCTATGCTTTGCGGTCCTTCAATCATGAGCAGACCAAGGCATTTGAATTCAAAGTCTTGGCCAAAGATGGGGGCAACCCATCCCTGCAGAGCAATGCCACCGTCAGAGTGATTGTCCTGGATGTCAATGACAACACCCCCGTGATCACTACCCCTCCCTTGGTCAATGGGACTGCAGAAGTGTACATCCCTAGGAATGCGGGGGTTGGCTACCTAGTGACTGTAGTCAAGGCAGATGACTATGATGAGGGTGAAAATGGAAGACTATCCTATGAAATGGTAGAAGGGGATAGAGGATTTTTTGAAATAGATCAAATCAATGGAGAGATAAGGACCACCAGAGCATTTGGGGAGAATTCAAAGACCGCTTATGAGCTCATTGTAGTGGCCCATGACCATGGAAAAACTTCTCTCTCAGCATCTGCCTTGATTCTGATATACCTGTCTCCATCTCTGGATGCCCAGGAATCCATAGGATCTGTTAACTTGTCACTGATTTTCATTATTGCCCTGGGTTCTATTGCAGCTATTCTTTTTGTCACCATGATCTTTGTGGCAGTAAAGTGTAAAAGGGATAACAAGGAAATCAGGACCTACAACTGCAGGTAAAGTCAGCTTGTTTCTTTGTACCTTGCAGTATGTGCTTTGATGTATAAATCCAGGTTATTTTTTCCCATTGTTATGATACACTTTGTGATTTATATCTGCTTTAGGAGCAAGAATGAGGATGAACATTGTAAAACTGCTTTTAAAAAAATTCTTTAGATTCCTTTTTTTTTTTGCATGTTACTTTGGGAGAAGTGCTTTAGGAAGAAGAAAAAATCTATTCTGAGTAAGTGGATTTCATACTGTGGTTTGATAGTCTACCGTGATATAAATTCAAATATTTCTTATGTATTCTGTAGCAGAAATGAGCTGCTCTGCACAGCTGCTTCTGGGATCTTAGGAAAGAATACTTACTGCAGTCACCTCCAAGTGCAGATAGTATTGTTTAAAAAAAAGATGGAAAATGGTTTGTTTGTTTGTTTTTTATGATTGCAAAAATAAGCCATGATTCTTACAGCTGCATTGGTGGTAGTAAAGCAGCACTGGATTTTTTTTGAAACCTTGAGTAGGTGGAAAGGAAATTCCTCCAAGAGGGAATTATAGTGGGTGCTCCGAGCATTGAGTCCACACATACAATAGCAGTTGGTGTTTGTTGGGGATTTGTTTGTGATTCTTCTGCATTGTTGCCTGCATCCTGTCCCCACCAGAGGATGTCACTATGGGCCATATGTGTTTTCTCTGGGAGTGGTGAATATAAAGGAAAGTGGGAGCTGGGAGAACGTGCCATGAAAGAAATCAAGGTTCAGCTAGAATTCGTGAAGTGAAGCAATGTCCTTAAAGCCCTTTCTTTCTATTCAAAAGAGCTATTGTGCCCATGTAGTTCACCATGCAGCTCTTGGTTACAAGTGACAATAGATTCAAGTGAAACTTATTTCCTTGAATATACCTAATTTTACTGTGAGAATGTAATGGTTGGTTTAGATCTTATCAGATGTTCCAATCAGCATATTTACAGCAATGCATTATTTTGTCATAGATGTATGTATGCTCCTGTGTCCTTAATTGGAGACACTGGGTCATATCTGCATCTGAAGCATTAGCTGTTATGAAAGGCTAATATGTGAAATTGAGTCCCCTGAATATGTAACAGCCATGCGATTATTGTCCGTCTTTTACTATTCTCTGTGTTACACAAGTTAGTAGACAAATGCTAACCACACATGAATATCAATCAGACGCCATAAAAGAGCAGCTGCAATGCCTCATAAATGGTCTAATCCTGTTACTAGTGAAATAGCCATGACTTCTCCATTCCTTCAGCACTGAATCATTTCAGATGGAAGGAATGGAAATTAATTTTGCTCTACCTTTGAAACGTATGATTGCCTGTGGCAATTTTATAGTGCAGGAGAATGTGCAGTCTTTAAAGTTTTATTTACACAGATATAATGACAGAGAGTTCAGTTTTTATACCCCATTTTTACAACATAAAGCATGTTTATAAGCCCTTTTGCTTGATGGGGGAAAATCATCTGCAGATAAAGCACTGTATGCATTCTATTATGGGATGCCTAGGCTTAAGTGAAAGCTAATATACTGGATTTCTTGCCAGCTTTGTCCATTAAACAAAAATAGGATCTGAATGTAGAAAATCAGATTGTGGTATCACCCCTAACAATTTAACATGTATGTATAGCTACTGGGTTTAGTGTGAAAGTTTAGGGATTAATGAAGTGCAGTTTAATTAAATAGAGAAAGGTCAGCAAAATGAATGCCTGTAGGAAGTAATTGGGATCTCACATTGCCAAACTTAAACATTTAGGTAAACAAAACAATTAAAGCTTCATCAAATATTGTTAGATCAGTCAGCGTGCGTATAGATCATTTGCGCAACAATAATCCCATGAAGTCCTTTAAATTATTTACAATCTCAAGGGGATGAACATTCTATTATCAGTGCGAATCTGATCAAGAGAAGTCAGCTGCAGCCACAGATAAGTAATGTATAGGCTTAGCTGTGTTTTTGATTATCAGTTTCCCCATACATACATTTCATGGACCCATTTAGACTTGTGCGCGCTCTCTCTTATCCTATCAACATCTGGTAGAAAGTCTTCATAAAATGTGATAATTTATGAGTCGCATAATCTTATATGAGAGAGCTGTTTGACTTGGTGGTTTTTTCATGCTCAGGCAATTAGATTTGTAAAGCAAGAATATTTATACAATATTACCTTTCTATATAAACCTGTGTTGTGTATTCCTCTCATTTATCTCTATTGTAATTGCTGAGTTTAAAACCCCTACCTTTTATCATACTAGGCAGTAGAACTGACTACTTTTGACTCTGTGTATGTATGTTTCAAGGTACAGTTTAATGTGTTTACTTTCAGAGGTATTGTGATTTCTGGCACCTTGTATGCATACCTGTTTCAGTATGGCATGATACACTGTCCCACAATCACTGAAATCTTTACTTACAGAGATGATGCCAAGTTCAGTTGCATTGTTGTTCGTCTTCCCAAGTTGTTTTATGATAACTTTGTTTCTTCAGTGCATTGCAAGGGAATAAGAGGTGCACATCCAGCATCAGTTCGTACTTTTATCAGGTACAAAGAAGATGGGGAGAGAAAAAGAAGCTTGTATTAAAAAAGGACAACAAGGATAACTTTTTTTTTTTCTTTTCACAATGCAGTTTTTGTATTCCAGGTTCTAGAAGGAAAAAAAAATTCCAACAAGGGGTTTGTGTAGGAAGGGAGACATGGGGAGAATGTAAAGGTTAGAGAGAAGATTTCAAGTTATTAAATGGTAAGATGAAAGAGTCAGAATAAAAGCAATCTTGATACACAAACTGCATTTAGAGTATGGTGGAACAAGCTTGCCAGATGAGAATATTGGGGAGGAGGGGGCTGCTGTAACTAGTATTATGGGAGAAGATCTGGGGGTAAGGGGAAAATATATTCGTGCTGACTTCATTTACATGAGCAAAAAATAAATTACTTATTACATATGAAAAATAATTCAGGTACCCTTTTCAGTTAGTGGATTTTAACATCTCCATTTTTTCTTTTCTGCAGGCTGAACTTTATTCCTGGTAACTAAATATCAACAATTATAAACAGCAAACAAAACAGAGGAATGTTTCTTTTTCTTTACTTTTCCTGTTTGACCTGAAAACTTAATACATATGAAAACAAACTAAAGACCATATTCTGCCACAAGACCCAAAAGATGATGTAATGTGCATGAATAAGAAGCTTATGTGGAGATGGGGCTAACCCCCTGGGGGTTTTTAATATTTAATAATCAGGGTTCAGGATGCTGTTAGATATTCATTTTGCCACTTCTGTCCCACAGAATTGCCGAGTACTCATATGGGCATCAAAAGAAATCAAGCAAGAAGAAAAAAATCAGCAAGAACGATATCCGGCTGGTACCACGGGATGTAGAGGAGACTGACAAAATGAATGTTGTGAGCTGCTCCTCCCTTACTTCCTCTCTCAACTACTTTGACTATCATCAGCAGACCTTGCCTCTGGGCTGTCGCAGATCTGAAAGTACCTTCCTCAATGTGGAGAATCAGAACACAAGGAACACAGGGTCCAACCACATCTATCATCACACCTTCACTGGGCAAAGTCCCCAGCAGCCGGATCTGATCATCAATGGAATGCCATTGCCAGAGGTGAGTCTGGTGAGGGCCTTTGGGAAAAGTCACAAGGCTGGATCTAGAGAGTTTACTTGTAACCTCCCTAGTAACAAACAAAGGTTTGCTTGTGGGATTTCCAGTATAAAGACAATGTCTTGTTGCTGATCAGACCTCTTGTCCTTCCAGTGCCTTGCTTCTGGAAGAGTGTAGATAAGAATGTAATAAATGTACAGATAATGGGTCTTGGATTTTGCATGGTAATATGCTTTCCTTGTTCTTTGATGTTGCCATAGTTTGCTGTGGTCATTAAACATGGCAGCAGCAACTGGTTGAATGCAGTGAGCAGCAGCATTTAATGGTGATGAGCGTGGTATAAATACATAGGTAGAAAAGGTTAAGTCAGAGGCTTGCTTCTAACTTGTATACTAACTTGGATCAAAGTCCTGAAAGCACAAGAAGTCAACAGGACTGCTGATGTGAGCAAGGATGGCAGGATTGGGCCCTCTTTTATTCCTATTCTTGGCAAAGAAACTTTGATCAATTTCACTTATTTAGATTAAAGGTGGTGACTCCTAAGGAAACAGCATGCTTTGACTTTAGTTATGATTAGAAGTAGGTTTGGGAAGGTTTTTTGTCTTTTTATGTTGTCACTGATACTATGGCAGCAATGCACAGTGGGAGTAGAGGTGCCACTTTTAAAATACCCTAGGATTGTCACTTTAAATGAGGCTGAACAACTTCTAGCCTACCCTGTTGTGTTGCCTCAGCATGTGGTATTAGTTAGTGCTGACCACTGATCCATGTGGTGTTTCCATAACTGCCAGGAAACAAATTGGAGCCTCTCTAATCCTGGCCATCCTTGTTAGTACCCTCCACTTTCATCTGGTTTTCTCTGCAAATTGCAGGTATCATTTACTTGTTTGTTTCTCTTTGAATTATTATTTGCTATTAAGCAAAACAATCAAATGAGTGTCATGTTTCCCACTTTAAACAGAATAACAAAGCTTGAAAAGCAGCTAAAATATTTATGGCCTACTCTGCTTTGCTCTTAGTACACTGGTGTAAATGCAAAACAAGTTCACTGAAGACAGTGGAGCAGCTCCCAGTTTGAAACTTCTGTTACTGAGAATACAGTTTGGCTTTAATATCTGTCAGTCGGTAAGACCTGTTTAAAGCAGTTGATGTCAGTTGGCCTGATCCTGAAGTTTTTGTATTAGCAAAAATCTCTCTGAAGTCATTGATATTTTAGCATATAAGGACTACAAAATTAGGCCCTTTAAAGCATAACTTGTTGGCCCCTGAATAGGGGTATAACACTTTGATATGGAATGGTCAGAGTCCTTCAGCAAAATGCATTTGCAGAGTTTTAAAGGAGACCTGTAGTTTGAAATTGTAAGATGACCCTGGCTTGTTTTCTGGGTCTCCTTGATGGATCATATTTTCTTCCCTTCTTCCACCCTGGTTGCATTCCACATCTGTCCTGTCATAGTAGCTCCAGACTTTCACTTGGCATCTTACTCCTTTGCTCTTTCAAGGTTACCCATTTCTCTGCTGTGCTGAGGCAACTTCTGCATCAGTGCACAAGCATACAGAGCCAGTACCAAATGTAACAGCCTGTAGCTGCTGGAAGTGAGAGAGTCTAAATGCAATTAGGAGGGTACAGCGAAAGTAATAGAGCACTGTTCCAGAGAATTAAAGCTCAATTTAACTTCTGGTGTTGGTGTGAAAGCTATAATCAAGATCCTTAGCTATACCTAAATGGCATTGGCATTGACTTGTATATAATAGCTCACATATTTTACTGTATATACAGATGAAGGACTGAATCAACTCTGGATCCAAATGTCTCTGAATTTTGGAGATACTGGATCTGAACTGGTTGACTAAAGTCTGCCTCTGACCAGGAGAACTGATAACAAAGGTTCTTTGAACCCTGAACTTGGGCAGGTTTGAGACAAAGTGAAATTCTCCATAAGAGGTGACTATGAGGGTTCCCAACACTGTCAAGAAACATCTGACTACAGCCCAGAGTACAAATTGGGGCTTCAGAGTGCCCTAGAGTTCAAATTGCACTTTTCAAGGCTGCATGCAAACAAAAGCTTTTAGTATTGTAGGGGCAATGTCCCATGAATAATTACTGCCTGGAGAATTGTATTGTTTGGAGGAGGATCTCAGAAGTGGTACTGAGTACAGTCTTTCTAAGGATATCAGAACCCCTGAGTATTGGAAAGGACTCTACTGCAGCTTCCATGTGCAGAGTAGTTGAGCCCTACTGTGAGCACACTGAGACTGTGTGAGATTCAGTATTTCAGAGTAAATTTAATTATAAAATCCATCATGTGGGTGGGCAGCTGGAGGTCTGCAGCACTGGGGAAAAGGAGGTCAGGGGAGACATTAGAGTTCAGCTGAAAAAGTTAATAGTCACAGCCAGAATCCATTTCTGCACAAATTTCTCCCTAGTGCAGCTGCATTGCCATTAAGCTTTGGGTCTGGCTAGGTACAAATCTCCGTAAAGATGCCCCAACTCTATAGATTCTGGGTTCTTCTCTTAGGAAACTTAGGCATTGGCAGAGGGAATTACATTTCCTTTCATGCCCAACTCGAGCCGCGCCCCCCCCCCCTTCACTTACGGAGTTTAATGTACTAAAAGCTATTGGAACATGAAGTGATGAAAACCATAGAGATATTAAGAAATAAAATGTTTCTCTCCCTAACTTCAGCGTCAGTTGGACATGTAGAAGTCTAGCAGTTAAAAGACCTTTCCACTTCTGTCCAGAGTACAAGTGGCTCTCTGGACATGGCATGAGCTCAGTGGGCTCACAGAGCCTGTTGATGATGTGATGGTTTTGGATTTGGCCCTGCACATGTAACTGGCTTGTGTTGAAGCCTTCTGGCTTAATGAATACAGACATCATCAACAGGAGCTCATTTTGCTATGCTTCTTGGAACCAGGTCAGTGTAAATGGTGATGGAAGTTAGTGGCAGAAAAAGTATGGAATGTCAGGCTGCATTTAACTAGCCGGGATTGGGCAGCACAATTAAAAGAGAAATGATCTGTAGATTTAGTTAAGGAACCATGACTTTGGGCCAGGTTTTTCATGGGCTTCCTGGCTGGCCAGTCATTGTTGGGTATGCTCTTGGCCATTGTCACACTGCTACTGTTCATGTCATGTAGGAAAGGAGGATCCAGAAGTGAGAGATGGAAATGACCTTTGGCTACACCTGAACTGTAGAAATATTTGATTTATTTTTTCCCTTCTGCACTTTTTTTTTCTGCAAGAAGGCAGGACAGGTACCTCATTAATAAGTAGGAAGGGGAGAAACTGAACCCAAGTGAAATCTTATTGGCAGTCTGGTCAAAGTGAGAAACTGGGTTTGATAAAACAGTAACCTTTTTCTAAAGTCCCCGAGGGAAGCTGCTGTTGTGGGGAGGTGATTATGATGGTGTCTGTGATTCAGTTGGCAGAAGGGCGTACTAGAACTCTGGAGGACCCAAGAAGTTCAGTCCGTACTTTTCAGAAATAGTACAAAAGACCATTAAAAAGACTGCAGCATTTGTGGAAGGGCAGCCTGGTTCCCCAAGCCCACCTTTCTACTACATTTAATCTGTAGCTATGCTTTCTTTCCCCTCCATGAGATCTGTGTTCTCCTGTGTATGGTATGTACTCCTTTTCACTGTCCATTGCATCCTGTTTGCAACATTTGATCACTAGGCTGAAGCTGTCACTGCAACAGTCTTGGTGGATCTGCTGTGACCATAATCATTCAACTTCAGAACAGCAGTGATAGGCAAGCTTATTTTATTAATAGGAATTATTGTTCATTAACAGTTATCATTCAAAAGTATGTTATTACAACACCCTTGGGTGCAAACTGTTTAACAATTGCAGTTCCTGTCCAGTTACTTCAAATTTCAGACCAGAGAATCTTAGTTGGGGGAGGGGGGGATCTATTATCTCATGCAGCCCATTTCTCATTCAGTGCAGGACTTTTCCTGCCAGTGTATTTACTAGGTCTTTGTCCAGTTTAGTTTCAAATGTCTCAAGTGATGAGGCTTCCACCACTTCCCTTGGGACATTTTTCCACAGCCTAATAGATCTCAGTGTCAGGCAAATTTTACTAATGTTCAACCTAAATGTGACTTTCCCTTGTTGTAGTGATGGGAAGGCACAGCATTGTTTGATACAAGATACAGTACAGAGGTAAATAGTAAAGCTTTATATGCCAGTTAGCATAAAACATTTGTGTCTGAGAAGTAAGCAAATGTCTCCTAAAAACTCCCTTTTTCCTAGCAGAGAATAGTTTTGGATTAGCTTGATGTGTAGCCAGTCTTTAATGTGAGGCTCATTTAATTTAACAGTTAAGAACCTTGAAATAAAAGTCCCTGAGGATGAGTTGTTTGTGGAGAGAAATGCTCTTCAGGAGACATTTCCACTGTTGCCGTAGCATAGTTACAAATGGTGGCAGGTATCTGGGCTGTGTATATAGTGTCATGCTGGTTAAATTGAATTCGTTTGTGCTCCCTACCTTTGTCCATTTGGTCTGGAAGGAGACAAACATCTGTGTCTGCAGAGATTTGAATTTGAATCTGATGGGGAAAAAAATGAGAGACTCTCTTTTATGTTTTATGCCAGGCTGTTACTTCAGATTGTGTCTGCCAGGAAAATAATTGCCAAAAGAGATTTTGGGGGTGGGAATGGGTACCTGGAATTCTGTCATGTTCGTAGTTCATTCCATATTATCCAACTCTGAGGCCCTCCCCAGTTCCAGCTGCAAAGGCATATTCTGGGCTCGTGTTGGCAGGGTTGTGGATGTGGTCAGTTCATTTTGACAGATAACTCAAATACTGCTTATGGCCAGCAAAGTATTGATTTGTACCCGTTGTAAGAGTGACTGAAAAGAATGAGGGTCTGGCCTGGGAGATTATGTACATTTGCACTGTAGCTGGGGAGCATGCCATGCTTTTTGGGAAGGAAGCTTCCCAGTCAAAGGGAGATTGCACCCAGCTTGCTCCTTAGTTTCTTGAAGCTCACTTG